CCAGCTTAATCGACTCTCTAGAGTCACTGATTAGCAACCATATAATAGAAATGGGTTTCAACTTTTACGTGTTTTGTGTTACTTGTGGTTGCAGTTGTTTCTCTCTTGCTCAGTCTATCTGCCTCTTGTCCTGTCTTTGCTAACATGTCTTTGCTTACAGTACATTATGGGTTTGAGTTTAGTAATACCGCATATACATTTTCAACGAAAAACAGTCCGTCCCTCATAATATCACCGTTTTCAACAAAATAAATTCTTATTGGTTGTATTTGTCCCAAATTGCAAATTTGTAAGACTATTGCAATGCTTATATGTGGAACGGGCATTCTCTCTCCTTGAGCAAGCTTTTGGAAATGAGTTATACCCATTGCCCATTTAACATGGTATCTATCATAGTGGGTTTGTAGGTGATGGTGGGTTTGTAAATTCTGGGCCCATTGCATGACACGCTATGCGTGGGGCGGGTGTTATTTGTTGTATTTGTCCCACGTCGCAATTGAGAATCTTCCAATGTTTATATGTGGAATGGTCCCCCTCGCCACTTGAGCTAGTTTTTAGAGATGAGTTCTACCCAAATCCATTAATACATTTCATGTTTTGAAATGATCCGGGGCTTGAACAAAATGGTCCGGTTCATAATTTATAAAATGGTTGATGTTTTTTGATACTTAACTTGCAAGGCATGCATACATAATTCATATATATATATATATATATATATATATATATACACATACAGTTCTACATATGTACACATACACACACATACATATCTATGAACATATCTATTTTAAACCTCTGAATTTGCATATTTATTCTGTTACTTTTGTCTTGACTTTAGAGTGTTGAGGTATTTCCTTCTGTATCTGATTTAGTTGCAATTTTTTTTGTGTTGAATGTGCAGTTGGTATTTTGTTCATTCAATGCTGATGATGAAGACTATAAAGGATACGAGTACAGCCTCGTTGGCCAACTATCTGAAGTTCGAGTTGTCTATTTGAATCGCTTTCTTCAAGAGGTCATTTAAATTTTTTTCGTTGTCATCCTTTTGATTGTGAACTTGTATTCACTGTTACAAATTAAAATAATTTCAGGTTGTCGGCTACTTTATGGGTCTTGTTCCTAGCAATTCCAAAGATGTTATCCAAATAAGAGATCAGATGACAAACTCGGGGAAGTGGCTTACAAGAAGTGAAATTGAAGGATCGCCCGCA